CCCCAAGAGCTTATCCTCACTTCTCAATCTTCACTGAACTGTTCAGTTTGGGGAAGCCCTTCGAAGAACGATGAACTACCCAGGTTTTCACATATCCAGTTCATGCTCAGACAGCAAAATCTCTGCCTGGCCATCTCCATTATCCCGCAGACACACACTGCCCTGCTGGGGTCTTGCCAGGCCCTTCCACCCCCCCACGCAGGTTTAACAGCCTGCAGCTTTAAGCCTACTTGCAGCACATGGTCAGCATGCGCATCATGTCTGTGCTTCCAACATGTTTCACCAGCCTTTTCAGGGAAGGCACCGCAGAAGACAGGATAACATCTCTCCAAACATACAACTATTTTCAATAAATCTGCTTTAACAGCCCTGATCAAATCTAATTGCAATCCTAACTGAAGAAATTGTCATGGCACTTACGATGAATTACTGCCATACAAGAGAGGTCCTCCCAAACTTCAAGCTCAGCCTGTGCAACTTGTCTATAAAAATTCAAACCAACAGCCTGACCCAACTTTCTTACAGCCTCCTGCAGGTACCCAGCGGTTACTCTGTCCTGATCCAGCCTCCCGTACACCCGGTGCCACTGGCGTGGGCACACAGACTCCCTGTGCCTGCAGTCACCCGGACACCAGCATCCAGCCCATGCACCCCGCCGGGGCGGGAGGGACGACCCCGGCTTTCACCCAGCCTAGCCCCCGGGCAGTGTAGAAGCCATGTCCTGGAGACAAGAGAGCCTTGCGGCAATGGGTAAAAGCAGCCAATGATGATCAATTGTACAACGAAAGGAAGGAAGCATTGTAGCGGATTTTAACAGAAAAGGAACTTTTAAAAAACACACTGTATCTGTTTAAAATTACATTAGAAAAAAGGTATAATGAATGTCTCTGTTTTCACAAAAGGATATATTCTCCTACTGTAAACTCTTGGCAGACTGAACACTCTAATCTACAGGATAACAACCATACATTTAAGGTATCACTTCCCAATTATACACAAATTCATAATTCACTGCCACAGGGAAAAATGAACCCAATCATACATCATTCTTACAGCAGTTAATTGGGCATGGAGCGGGCCAGCTCTGGTGGTAAATGGTAAATAATGTATATAGTATATCAAATTTTGCGTGTAGATAGACAACTTAATTTGCTTCCCACCAAAGAAAAAGGACTTTTTAAGAAGCAAACCATTTCTCTCAACACGAACATGCAAGATTGCCTTCACACATACACCTGCCATTACATATGTCCATCATACAGAAAATACTTATTAACAAGCATCATCTTTCAAGATGTGTGTGTGTATACGTGCATGTGTGTATAAGCAAATACATGTGTATACAGACACACAGAGAACCTTACATTTCAAATAAAATCCACTGTGAATACATGGATATTGAAGTCTCAAAGCTTCCAAGAATAACATATATGCAAAGTTTTCTAAGAGGCTGATATGGGGTTGCCTCTGTATCAAAGACTTCTCAATCACATGCCATTTATTTGCAGGTTTTTGGAAAATTAAATGCAATTCAATGGCAACTTCCAATTGCTTTTCAATGTAAAAATGAAGCCACTCACTACTGAAAAGTTACAGAGTGGAACCAGCTGCAGAGGGGGTTTTTGTTTGGTTGTGTTTTGGGTGTTTTTTTAAAAACAAAACAAACCATTAAGCTGTTCTTAGGGGCCTTTGAGCTTGAAAGAAATTACTCTCTGCTTTTCTCCTTCACCACAGGCAAAAAAACCTATACACACCTAAGCAATTCTCCAGCAACCTGTGTTTGCTAGTGCACTGTGTTGCTCTCCCCCGCATAGCACAACTTCTCCTGAGTTACAATCACTCACTCACAGTTCCACAGAAGACTCGGTATGAACAGAAGATATTTAGACTTCAGAGCCTGAAAACTGAACAAACTTACTCTGTATAGAATAACACTTACTTTCTTTTTTCCTAAGGTAGTTAGAAAAGTTATGAAAATCACCTTGACAAAACACCGGTGATGTTGCATATTGATGGTGAGGTGTAACGACCTAAATGCTCTCCACTTTTTCTGCAGTTCTAATAATACACTTAGCTATTCAACCCATTTCTACTCTCTCCTACAAACAGAAGAGAGAAAGAAATCCCTTACATGTTTTCCTGGCTGACGCCAAAGGAACTCGTCAACCCACAGCGGGATGCAGTGAGATCCAAAACTGGGCTCTTTGTAGTTGAAAAGGAAAGTCTTTAGCCAACTGGAAGTGACTTCTGATGGAAACTTTATGATTTTTCTTTTCCAACAGATTAATTGAAGGAAAAGGTTAACTTGATGTTTTATTCCGGTATCTATTGGCAACTGATATTCAGTGATAACTGATATGTTTGCAATTTAGGAGTAAAAGCTTTTCTCCTTCATGCAAATGGCATCACACATTTGGTATTGATAATGCAGATGGATTTGGCCTGAATTCCAAATTATCTAAGGATCCAAACTCATGATACTGATTATTTTTCAAATCTCATGTTTTCTAAGACAAACTGGAGTTCAAATTCCCTCATATTCCCTTGCATGTTTGAACCCTTAGAAAATAGCTGGTTCATGTTTCAAAGGGTCTGATTTTCTAATCACAAGGACTAAAATTTTCTCCTTTGTATTTTATCATTCAAAATTCTCTTGTAATCCATAGCCTCCAAATGCTAAGGATTATCGCAGATACCACAATATCAAATATCTTCACAAGAACTCCACATCCCACTGTAAATCAGTGTAAGGTCAGCAAGGGTTGCACACACGGCAGCCACCTTGCCTAACAGTCCCTTCAGGGTCCTAATCAGCACCTAGGAACAGATTTCCAAATGCACATAGGCAACTAGCAAACAGGCAAGCCCTGTGTTCCCAAAAGCATTGATTTCTCTGACACCGGGCAGGTTGTGTCAGTCAGAAGGATCACATCCACCCCCATGGCAGGAACACACCCCATGTTTCTAAGTATTTGCTCCAGGAGTGGAAATCCCAAACGCAAATCATCCACCGTAGTCCTCTGTAGGGCAGGCAGGAGAAATCTCAGGTCCTGTGTATGAGGAGGGATGGTACCTTCCTTCTCCCCATCCCACACTTGAGCTGGGACTCGCAGTCAAACCTCTCTGTGGTCAGCAGGGACACCTGGCTGAGAGGGTGAAACAGGGGATTTCACATAGTGATTCACAGCAGCTTTGGTGGCAGAGCATCCAAACAAGTAAAGAAACCAAAGAAACATGACTACAGCTCTGAGCAAAAGAAAAGAATTTGTCAAAAGTTGAAGGAAATTTTGCCTAATTTCGCCTTTTGTCAAAAAGACGGATACGTACATGGCAGGACTCAGATGTTTGGGTTTTTTTGAAGAGCATATAGCCCACACATGACTCTCCACTTCCAAATGAGCATTGTGGGAAGAAAAAAAAAAATCATTTTTAGAGCCGTATTTGGAAACAGTGGATCATCCAAAGATTCAGAGAGAAACAGTTCTGGAAGCTGCCGGCCTGGTGTTTTATTCCCCATCCCACCATCTAATGCCACATCTGAGCCACTCTGTGATTTCTGTAAGCACAGCAAGATACTGTTCCCACTCAGCAGAGCTCATTTCAACTGGTCGGGTGTGTATGGGGAGGTACCTCTGCCACCTCCTGCAAAGCAGAAATTATAAAAAAATCATGTCCGCACACAGCAAAGTTAAAAAAAAAAAAACAAACCTCACAGTAATAATTTACCTAAATATTTAAAAGAAAATAATGTTTAAATATTAAAGGTAATTCTCATGGAGACTGATGTAATACTAAATGGAAATAAATTAACACTTTCATTCCACTAAATGAAATGAACACAGAACCCACACACATAAAAAAAACCAGAGAGTTTGCATTGGAAAGACAGCTTAAAACTCGCAAGCTTTAACCCAAAACATTTTTTTTTATTAAAGTATGAATGCATTTATGCTGGAGAATAGTTTACATACATTGTAAAGCAACAAGCATATTTTCAAGAGGTGTGGGCCCTCCTCAACATGTCTCCATGCTCAGTCTACATGCTTTGACACTGGACTCACACATACACTCTCACATACAAACACATAGACCCACAAAACACAGACATAAAGCTATCTGCTTCAATTAGCTTTCTTTTAAGGCTTCTGTAAGGTGCCCTAGTGCCCCTAACATTACCATAATTATGAACAAAACTGTAGAAAGGAGCAGCATTACTTGCAAACTATTGATCTGCTCTTGGCCTTAAAAAACATCAAGTGAAACAATTTTTTTCCTTTTATTTGAGTTTTATTAAACATCTGCATTTAAGAAAGGCATGAGTCTGTATATCTGTGAACAAGGAAAGATACGGGAATCTTAACATGAGCTTCTCAACCAGAAGAGATGTTCAAACCTGACTCCTAAGGGACTGTTTCCTTTGATCTTTACAGTAACGCAGCCCTGGCTGTGCGACGAGGTACTACCAGCTCCATCCCACCAGTGCCACTCGACCAGTGATGCAGAGACCACTAACATGGAGTTGAGGCTACCATGCTCCTATCACTTCAGACCTGAGGTTGATGAGAAGCCACAGTTCAAACACTGACAGACCCAAGTGTCCCTCAACTCTTACCAGCAGGCCCCTCTCCTGTGGAGCACATCAGCATTGAAAAATGCACAGGTAGTGGTGCTGGTTCGCTGTACCCCTAGCCATCAAGGAGTATTTTTGCCCACCCCTTTTTGGTATCCTGCAGTATATAGTCTGAAACTGCAACTACTCGTGTTGGGTGAAAGACGTGGCAGCAGGTATATTAAGAAAATAGGTACAATGAATAAAATAAAGGATAGCATATGATATAATGTGTACATACAAGCATCTTCTTTCATTTTTTATCTGTGAAATGTGAATTAACTGCAGAATGCCAGGCCATTAGTCTAAAAGGCTATGTATGGCTGTCTTAGCCTACGTATGATCAAAGGATTTTTGTGATGCATCATGGAGAAAGATTCTTCAGGAACCATTAGGGCTTTCCAGGTTTACTTGCTCTTATGCATCATCATGAGCCCCCAGCAAGGAATGCCAGAGGAGCAACTAATAAAATTGCCTGACCAGTCTTACAAGACAAACAGGAATAACTCTACTTCATGGTATGCATCTGAACTACAGAGACAAGACAGGGACAGTGAATGGAGGGTGAGAGATGGGGGAGGGAGCTTTTTTCTCACTTTTACAACAGCAGCAGATTTCAATGTAATGAAATTACTTTAATGATGCATATCTGTAGGTATTAAATTGCTCTTTTGATTTAAAAAGCTGGTCAGACAAGTGTTTGGTAGTCCTTTCATTCCCCAGTTTCAATTGTTGCTTATTCATCTATCAGCTCTCATTCCCTAGGCCATTTCTGCCTTTGCTGAACGGTGAATGAGTTCAGTCAGCCATCGTCAGATTCAAATTCATGAGACACTTCCTCTGACGAGCTGTTCCTGTGGATCCGGCCATCGCTTTTCATGCTGTGAAAAGTCTTCTTAAAGGCCTCCATCATGGCATGGGCCAGCTTCTTGGCCTCCAGCTTGCTCTCACACTCTACAGCATGGCAGTCCATCTGGTAGGACAAGTCATCGTTGATCTCCCGATAGACCCAAGCAAAGATGTTTGGGCTGACGTTGTGGTCAGCAGTGCAGTAGGCTATACGTGCTACCTGAAAGGTATCCATGTGGATTGTCGCCTCACCTTTGAGGTCCAGATGATGCAGCCAGACTTGGAAAGGACGAATTTCCAGAAGAGCATTAGCTGGGTAAATATCCTCCCTGGCGAGCGTGTGCTTCTTCCATAATTCAATGACTGGTTTCTCTGTGCAGCCTGACAAAAATGGCATCCCTGTTGTGGAAACCTTACCCAAATATGTAACCTGCAAAGAAGAGCAAAGATACGTGAAACACAGACAGCAGACTCCGGCGTTGCTTTCTACCATCCCAGGGAACTTTCCTTTATCTGGAAAATGAAAGCACACTCTCCCCCATAAACTCCCCAATTTCCCCATCATCTTCAGTAAAACAGTTTTCAAACTGCTTTCCAGATATTTGCTTTTTCAGATGCTGACTTCACCATTTAAACCCACATGTTAAAAAAGTTCAGTCTCTGAGTTTTAAGGGATTTCACTCTCTTCAGCTCCCCTGGAAAGCCCAGTTTTAGAGCCCATGACTGTACCTCTAAGCTCATGGTGGCAAGCCTAAGTGCCAGTGGAGCAGGCCCCAGGTAGCTGTGATGCTAACCACTTTTTTTTCCTTTCTGCTTTATTCAGACGATTCATTTGTATCAGATTTCAAACATTAATATTAGGAAGACTGAGACATTCTCAGTTTGATAATGCCAGGCTGCAGGGGGTCAGAAAAGCGTGATCACGGCAGAGGATTTTAAACTGTTTGAATTTTTTTTTCCCAAATAATCCTGTTTTTCCACCACTTCTGCTGTTTCTACTTAAGTATTAAGCCAGGAATAGCTCAAAGCTGTTCAAAACTCTATCTTTGAGCAGGGTTGAGACACTTATTACATCTATTTAAGAAAATATGCTGTTAAAAAAAATCTAGTAATAAATCTACCTTAGTTTGATCACATCATCTCTGTGCTTTTCTGTCTAGCTCTTTTGAGTAAATATCCTGTTATCTAATCTGCACAGGAAAGCAAGGTGGTTTCAGTGCCCTTACTGTATTTTGTTCACCAAAAATCAAATTCACTGAGAGGTCCGTACCAAAATTCTACATTAAGCCTGCGCAGAAACATTCCTCTAAATCTGTACAGCTGCTAAAGAGGCTTTCTTCCACTTACAGCTGAATGGAAGACTATTTTATCTGGGAAAGGGGATTTTCTCTAGAAAAGACAGATCAGTGCCACATAAATACAATTATGCAGATTATTCTATTTATTGCTGTTGTCAGAACAGAGCATTTAAAAACAACTATATGAAAGCAAAATTGCTTCTAATTTGTCTCTTGCAGCAGTAACTGCTTGAGATAGAATCTTGTACCTCTTGCTTGATGTCTTACAAGCTCATGCGCATTTTACTCAAGGCGTCTGCAGAAAAAGAAGTAATCACATGCACTTTCCAACCTAATTTCTTCAGAATCCTGTGTTAAACACATTATTTTGTATATGCTTTAAGAAATGCAAAGAAAAAATAAGGTATTTCCACATTTAAACACATTAAAAAATCATACCCACAAGGAATACACGATTTGTATTCCATGCAAACAAAATCTTCCACAAGAAAAATATTTTGCTGCAAGCCTCATAGGTTTTGTTAAACTCAGAGACCTAAATTAAGCCATAATTAAGAAAAAAGCTTACAAAACATTATTGGAAGTCTGTGTGGCTTAATCACGCCTGCCAAAAAAGCAATTTCATAGCATTGACATTTCAAAATGGGAAGTTTTATTCTTTGCCTATAAATATGCATGCTTTGCACTGGGAATATGTTAAATCTTATAAAGCTTTATATTTTTTGGAACAGTGGGAAACACAACAGCTAGAACAGTTAACAAGGCAAGACCTACCAGTGTTTTGCTTTATTTTATTTTATTAGCGATGAGAGTTGAGCTCCCTGAAGTACTGTAGAATAACTTAAAAGAAAACCTCAGAGCTCATAGTGGCAACTAAACACATCCAAACAGCACATACAAGACCAAAGAGGAATGTGTCTGTAACATACTGGGGGGCATTTCAACATACATCCACAGTCATATTGCTTTGAAAAGATCAAGATCATTGTGCAAATTTGCACATGCAATATATTCTCCAAAGGTTCACTCAGCACTGTTTCATATTCACAAGCCAGCTAACAAAAGAATAACACACGCTGTAAATTAACTGAGCATTTGGGGTTAGATGCAAAGCCTATTGCAGTAACAGAAGTCCTTCCCTGACTTCAAAGAGATTTGCACAAAGCCTTTAAACCCTGAGGAACAGAGAATTAGCCTCTTGCTCATGCACTTTATCACTGCCCAACTACAGTTTTGAATCCCCAGCTGCAGGAGAGACGCTGCCACCACTGCAACATTTTATGTCCCCAGCTGCTGCTTGGAGAAGATCGGTATCACTTGGAGCACGCAGAAATAAGCGCCTCTCGTTAATGCGCAACAGCAAGAGCAGGGAATTGTTTCATTACAGGCTTGTCTGCAAGGGGAAGCTGTTGACAGCATGTGAGCTGCCCTGCCACAACCGCATGAGGATCGGGAGAGGAGAGGAAAGCAATGGCAGCTACATCCCACTTAGGAAGCATTGTTACGGGTCTTCCCAGGCAGTTGGTGCTGCTGAGCTCAGTGCTGCAAATTCAGCCCCAGCACACACAGCACCAGCTTCTCAGCATGGATGACTCCCAAGTGATGCTCGGGACACCTCCAGCAGCTGAGGAGCAAAACCGGAGCAAGTTGTCACACGGGAGTGTAAACTGAGTTTAACGTTCTCTCTGTTCCTTCCCTGCCACTAAGTGCAACCCCCTGATGGCCATCAATCCATGTGTGGCCTGCCTACGTGTGAAGTTACATAAAAAAAAAAGTATTTCCTAACAAATAAAGTATTCGTATTTTACAAAGAAAAGCAGTGAATTACTCTGAAAGCAGCCAAGGCAAAAGTAACTAATGAGAAGGATGGGATGACGGCTTGTTTACCAAAATGGGAAGCAATGGTCTGACTTACTGTCCCAGTTCTGTCACAGTATAACTGTGTAGGAACCTTTGGAAAGTTGCTTCCTTTAACACCACTTTGCATCTCCATTATATAAATTTCATCTTCCGTTGGGGACACATTCATAAATATTTATAAGGTGCTTACACATTACAAAAAGGAGTTCACAGGAGAGAGAATAAACAAAGCCTCTGGTTTACAGTCTTTCCTGTACTGTGTCTTACACAGAAACATCAACACCTACTAATGGTGTTATTTTTTGTTTCTTTTTAAAGAAATTATGATTTTTTTTTTCCTAGTTGAGATACAGGCATTTCACAAGAGTAGCATTACCAAAGCTCTTAGTGAAGACAGATGTCTAACATTTCACCGCATCATGGTCCCCTGCAAAATACAGGACAGGGATGCAGGGGCTGGCAAGACACCACGAATATTTGACAGAAAAAAGGCATCATCCTGTTCAGAACAAAGTTTTCTTCATGATTAAATGTCACCTACGTGTTATCTATTACATAGTAATCCATCTGGAGCTGGCCAGTTTAGTAACTTAGATATCAACGTTTGCATAATTGCAGGGACACCATCAGTATGAACTAAAACCAGAAAAAGATGGATTTACAGGGCACTTCTCCCCAGGTTCTCAGTTACAAGGTTATTCCACAAGCACTGCTCCCTGCATTTCAGCTCCTACCTCATCACATCTCACAGCACATCCACCTTTATTTAAATGCCCAGAAACCACTGACCACACACATCATTAGAGTAAAGCTATTACAGTACAACCGTCTTCCTTTCCAATTTCCAAGTTTGCCAACCAAAGATCAAAGAACAGATTATTCCTTCCACTATCAGATGGAAAAGAAAATTATTTTGAGGCAAAAATTCTCACTAGTAGTCTTTTCCATTAAAACTGATAGCGTCTCATCTGTGTGAAGCCAGCAGGAAGTACAAAAAAGAAGAATTTCATCTTTAATACTTGTAAGAACCAGATGTGAAGGGCACAGAAAGACATTATTATTATTATTGTGTGCGCAAGTGCAAACACACACTGCAGAAGTGCCTGAACAGAATCAACTGTACAGCCTTACTAATTAGAGAGTAATCATTGACAAGGACTGGCGACAGCCACAGTTCAGGCTGAAAGCTGCACCTGTGATAATACAGCTCTGACCACCAGCCAAACTTCACCAGGACTGAGTAATGTTTTTCCTTCCTCCAAAACACTGCACAGAGGTCCCTTGGCAGCAAACATCAGTCCAGAAAGATGACTTACCTGTGACAGCATGGCATGTCCTATAGCAAGTCTCATCCTATACACACTGAGGCCAGTAGCCACGTTCCCTTCCCTCTAGACCCAGTGCAAAGCAGAGTAGCCACATGTTGGCTGCAGTGTGTAAGTTATGATTAAGCTGTCACAGCCTTTACTTGTTTTGGACACTATATTTTAAGTGAGAAAAGGAATGGAAAAGCCAGCTCAATGCCGCCGTGTTAACCTTAAGCAATAAAGGCATTTCATATCATATCTTCTTCCAGGGCTAGAAATACATTTCTTTATGGCATTTTCAGTCCTCTGGTTTGCATGTTCCATCGTTCCCATAGATTTCTGGAAGATAGAACTCCCAACAATTTCTTGTGCATGTTAAAAATTATCCACATTCTTTCCAGACCTTCTACGGCAAACTGGCATTTTCCATCTGATCCTTCACTCTCTGGCAAGCCACTGTCACCCAACATGACATAAAATACACTTGTGGTTTCAGCACTTCTGTGCTTGCAGACATTCAAACCTTTAGCAAAAGCCAAGATGCTCTGAAGAGGTCCTTACTTCACCCTAGAGACTTGCCAACATCAGTGTCAGTATCTGACAAAACTGTCCTCAACAGAAAAATGCTGTGCCTTTGCCCTTTCATAACACAGCTACAGCCATCTGACATGTAGAGATGTCTCATGTCAAAGGACATGAAGATTAATTGATGTGATTCTTCATGCACTATCCTGGACACACAAAAACATCTGAGTATTTTGATATTGTTGTTTTCAACACCTCCAGTCCAGTAACGTATAGTGCAAATACCATAGCAGCTGCCGTAGATACATGAGCTGCAAGTAAACAACGTGAGGTCAAAGATAAAGAAAAGAATAGACTATAGAACCCCCTTACTACTTCTGACAAGTCATGCTGTGCTAAAAGTGAAAATGTCTATGGCCAACAGACAAGGTGGCCGGCGG